ATTGAGATAGATTTGCAAAAGCTTAAGTGGAAGAGTGAAGAAACAAATGTCGCACTAGTAAAATAAATATATTTTTAAAAGATTTCTTTTTTTCTAATTTCATTTATATTTTATATTTTTAATGATTTCATTTTAAGTGTTATGTATTTCTTTTTACAATGTGCGTTTAGTTTCATTATTATTATATTATCTATGTTTACATGTAAGAATAATAGTAAACACAACAACGATAAATCATTATGTTTCAATTTTTTACTCGCAAAAATTGTCTATAATGGATCTCAATCTAATGTGGGGATATATATAATTTTATAGGCGGCCACCCCTGGCTTACATTGCCGAAATTATTTATAGACCTCCAAAACCTTCAAGTGCATAACTTCTGCAGCCATCAGAGGATTTTCCTTTAAAAAAGATCTCCACTCGTTTGAGCAGAATATTTCTCTGCCGTGTGTCATGATGTAATTTTGCACCATCTTCTTCAACTCTGAGTTCTGGTGCAAGTCTGCGAAGACTAAAGCCTCGCAGGCGTTGGACGTGCTGAGCTGCTTTTGCAGGAGTTGCGTGCACCTCTGCCTAAGAGAGATGATGTCGTATTTATCAGCAGCCGAGTACAGGTCTTTGGTACTTGCCCACGTAAGATCTTCCAAAGTGTCCGTGTACATGAACAGCAACATCTGCCGCAAGGTTTCAGAGCTCAAGTCCGTGATGTCGACGCAGTTGTTTGCTGTCTCCTTCATGTCGCTGAGGAACATCGCCTTGAAGACTGGGGACCTGGAGCTCAGAACCACCTTGTGAGCAAAAAACGACTCGGCGTCCATTTTCAGTTCCACATCAGAGAAGTCACGATCGCTGTACATGGACATCAAGTCCGTTTCAAAAGTACTGGGTACGTAGAAGCTGGAATTAAAATCCGGAATATAACTTTGGTTTTGATATTCTGTTGTTTTTTGGTCGTCATATTTCACTGGAACTCTTCTTCTGAAACTATGCTTCTTTCTAGCAGAAAGATGAAGTGGTGAGGTTCCATTAGTGGCCAGAACATCTGTAGATGATGATATAGCTGCTTGTGTGGTTGTAGAAGAGGAAAACATCTGCGTATTAATTTGTGTGCTCTGAAAACTGGAGTTTGTATCGCCAAAGCTAAAGCTAAAAGTATTTGATGCTTGCGTAGTTTTAGCTGCATAAGAACCGAAAGCCATCTTTGTCTTTAGAAATAATTAACTACAAAAATAATAAAAAAAAAAAAGTAAATAAATAACAATAATAATAATGAATATTTTAAATAAATACATACAAATTTGTTAAAAAAAAATTATCATTTACTTAATGCTACAATACTAAAAGCTTTGAATTACATGAACGCGAAGTCAAATGTAACCGCTATTTGAACTGTACAATTATTATTTCTAAAGTGCTAAAAGTATATTATATAAGTCTAGAAAGTTTTCGAATTTTTTTTTTTTTTATGAGTTTCTTTCTTTCTTTTTTTTTTTTTTGAGGTCGGGGGAAAAAAAAAAAAAAAAAAAAAAAACTGTGACCAAAAATCTGGATTTTCTTTGGTCACATCTAAGCATATCTAATTATCTAATGAATTCGAATTCATGTCTGAAATGCATGTATGTCAGCATCATTTGAGGAAGATGATTTTAAAGTCTGAAGTTAAGATAAAAAATTATTATGTTTAAGTTATAGTTGTTAAAAACTAGATCCCTTCGACATGAAATGGATCAAAGTTCATTGATAAATGTTAGAAAAAAAAAAGAGAAAAAAAAACGATTAGAGCGATTCTATTTATGTACATTATGATACTCGAAACATTTGCTGCAACGATTCCATTCATTGACTGTAATCACTAAATAACGAATATCATATATTTTTTTTTTTTTTTGCATTCAACTTTTTTTGTAATATACTTTTACTCATGTAAACACTCATTGTAATGGGTATGCTTCCGTGTGTTGTTGTTGCTTCTTATCCCACTTGGCTGGCCAAGCCCACGAACCCATACGTACTCATGATTGTAGGGGAAGGAAGCAGCTTCTGTTGTGATGGAGCACCCGTAGGTAGAAGTCTGACTTTGGCTCCGTCACACTCTTACAGTCATAGGAGACTGGGACCTACGGCTTAAAGTGGATTCGAACCACTACAAACATCCATGGCACCGCCGGAATTCGAACCCGAAACCTGTGGCACCGAGCGCTAGACACTCGGCCATTCAGGTCCCAAATTTATGAATGCCAACGGCACGCGGTGTTCCCAGGTGGTCACCCACCCAAGTACTGACCGCGCCCAATATCTAACGAGAACCGGTACATTCAGCATGGTATGGCCGTTGGCATGCTTCCGTGTAAACATTCATTGTTAAGGGGTTAATGCTTTCCTGTAAACATTCATTGTAATGGGTTAGTGTTCTCACAAAAATTGGAAAAATGTATGGCATTGAACTCATCAGATATAGCTTATACGATTATGTTTTCAATTAATCTTTTTTATTTCCAATGGCAGACTATGAACAGTTACAGCAAAAAACAAACAAAACATACAATAACAAAAATAATACAACAAAACATGCTGAAACAGAGTTCATTAATCTAACAATAATGCCAAGTTACAGATCTTTCAGCCACTAAAAAGTGTTACCAGGTGCACCATGGGGAGGTAGATCTTCTGCGCACCCAATTTTCAATTAATCTATGGTGCTGAATTTGTAAATTATATTTTTGATCGCGCTTTAATTTTGCAATTAAGCTCCTATTTTTACTTTGATATAGCCCATACGTGAGGAAGTTATAGTACCCGGTTAAATACAATATTAACTAAAACACATTATAGAAAGATTCGTACCAAAGACGGTTTTTGTACGCTTTCGAATTTCTTTTAATTCGAATATTCGTCGCTATATTGCTTTCGAGTCAGGTCATTCATAACTAGAACAGGAAATATGAAACCAATATACACGTCCACATTTGAGCACGAAAAGAGTGAGCGAAGGATAAAATCCTGTTGGAGCTCGAAACGTAAGTTCACTCATATCTCAATCTCAGTGAAGTGAAACGTGGCTCCATCTGGTGTTGGTTTTATATTCTACATCAAATGCCAAAACATTCTGTTCAGCATAGATGGAACTCGAAACGCACGTGCACTCACTTCGCCGGATTATAAGATCTGATATTTCGGTTTCGTTCCAAAATTGCTGATAAAACATTCTTTAAATGAAAAAATTCATATCCTATCAGATGAAATATTCTATACTATTTGCACAAATATACTATAGATTCGATTCATTTCTATTACTTTTATTTCATATCTCAATCTGAGTGGGATGAAAAGGGGCTTCACCTGGTGTTGGTTTGTCTCTCAAATTAAAAAAAATTGCACTTTACCAAATGACACTCTCATACATGAAATAATTGAACTTGAATTTAATTGAATTTTACGAATTGAAAATTCAAACCCATGTCTATACTGGAGTGCGCGAGTTGCAAGCACCGCTCTCGAAGCCGATTTATTTCAATTTGTGTGTGTGTGTGGGGAGGGGGAGCAACTCATGCGAAAATGGTTGACTAATTAGCGAAACATGAAAGAATTTTCAACCGAATGATGTAAGATTTTCTCTAAGATAACTGGAGATATAAAGAGTTTGTTTTCGAAAATCGCTCAAATGAGTTTTCTGTGAGCGACATTCACAATTCAAGCATTCAAATGTGGACATGACTCAATTACTTTATACGCTTTATTGACGTACACACTCGATATCATCGCCCAACTTGACGAGAGAGTCTACTCCTTTCCTCCTCCTCCTTCTTCTGCGGCCAGATGGCCAATTGGCTAGCGCTCTGGCCGTTGGTACAACAGGCTTCAAGTTCGAATCCTGGACTTGAATGTTTGTGAGTGGTTCGAATCCACGTTGAATTGTAGGTCCTGGTCTAGTTAACCTAAAAGCGTGCACAAAATAACAGTAGAGCGAACCAATCTTCCTCCTCTTCTTCTTATAACCAACCCAACTTTTACGGCCTACAGATGAATCATCTTCATCCCCGGCGTAGATATGTTGTTTCTTATCCCACTTGGCTGGCCAAGCCCACGAGCCCATACGTACTCATGATTGAAGGGGAAGGAAGTAGCCTCTGTTGTGATGGAGCACCCGTAGGTAGAAGTCTGACTTTGGCTCCGTGACGCCCTTACAGTCATAGGAGACCGGGACCACGGCTTAAAGTGAATTCCGAACCACTACAAACATCCATGGCACCGCCGGGATTCGAACCTGAAACCTGGCACCGTGCGCCAGACACTCGGCCATTCAGGTCCTAAATTTGTGAATGACAACGGCACGCGGTGTTCCCAGGTGGTACTAACCCCGCCCAATGATGCATGACTTCGGTGATTTAACGAGAACCGGTATATTCAGCATGGTATGGCCGTTGGCAAAAAAAAAGTACATTGGCCCATGAGGAGTTTTTTAGTTCGTCTTCGTTTATCGTAGAATTTCGAATGGAGCCTTTTTTAGTTCTAAAATTCAACTGTACTCTCCGTTCGTTATAAGATATATTACCGGTTTCATTCCAAAACTGCAGATAAACAGTTTTTTTAAATGAAAAATTCTTATCGTAAAAATTTATATCTTATCAGACGAAATGTTTTGTATTATTTGCACAAATGTTACAGAGTCGATTAATTTCTATTACTTATAAATAGCAATCCATTTTTTTTTTTTCATGACGAATTAACCCGTTCGAGAAATACATTTTATAAAACACCGCTAAATAAAAAAAAAAATTCAGATTAATGCAGGAATTTTTTTTTACGGCATTACATTGCAAAAATGAATTGCCCTGAGAAATACGCCTGCAGTCTTTCTTCAGAAATTGCACATTTAATTTTGCAAAGTTTAAACAATTTGGGGACGAAGAAAAGTCGACATAAATTTGCATTAAAAATAAAAATATTTTAAACATGGGCATTTTATTTTTTAAGCGTGAGTTAACTGGTAAACTGGTGTTAGGTTTTTGTGAAGTTATTGAGCTATTAAATGGTATTTTATATTGAAATACGGTTAAAATAATGTAATACAAAATTTAAATCACCTTTTATTTCTTCCAGATGATTATTTTCATTAAAATCTGAAAACAACTTCATGCAATGCACAGAAATCGCAGCTATACTATAGAATGATAATACGGTAACATTCACAGTTAAATGGAAACTGCTTTATTTAATTATATTATGATAAAGTTATAGGAATTCTAAAAGTTTCTTTTGTTAAATACCAAAAGAAATACTTGTAAAACAAGTGATTTTAAAAACACGTGGCTGTCATTCAACATAATACTATTTCTAGTTTAAAGGGTAAACAACACCAAAAATAATAATGATAAATAAATAAATATATGCAAGTTTTACCTCTTTACCAGAAGTTGTTCACAGACTCCTTTCGATAGTAGCTTATTTATTTACCAAACGATAAAAAATTTGCTGCCAACAGGGCAAGAAAAAAAGAATCATCCAAATTAATAAACGAAATTATAAAATTCCAATACTTTCAGGATTATTGTGTTCGTTTAAAAGTACAATTTATTCTGAAACAAATGAAACTCATTCTTTTCATGGCAGCTGGTCTCCGTCTGGATTGATAAAAGCAAGTGGCGGGAGAAATATTTCCAACGGACAAAATAAAAATAGAGCTATATCTCTCTTTTTAGATAAGAATGATTTCGATTTTCCGCCTAGCTCAGTGTAGTTTGCTGTCATGACGTTAGAGCGTATATTCTAATCTTTTAGCAGCATCTTCTGATCTTATTTGAAGGGGAAAAATATCACAAGTTATACATACAAATTTTTTTAATATAAATAAACTTACTTTGTTGTTGACAGACATCTTTTGATGATAACTTATTTATTTAGTAATGATCGAACCAAACAAAAAATTTTGCTGCATACTGGGAAAAGGGTGAAAAAAGTTTTCAAATTACCAAAAGAAATTGCAAAATTCCAGAATTACCACTCTTTTAAAAGTACAACAAATTAGAAAAAGTTAAACTCATTTTTTCAAAAATAATCATTTCCTTTTAAATTATGTCACGATAGTTACGATTTTAACTGAATGTGCAATTTATGGTCAAGGTTATAATACATTTTACGTCATACGGTGCATCCGCGCATGCGCTATTACATGATGGGGCAATCATGTGACAGCACGTGCTTTTTTTCAGTAACCACGTTAATTGTGATGAACGAAGATTCTATTAATAGTATGACGGCCAAAATAAATAAACCAATATTTACCATTTTTCTCTCTCTTGCATGCAAAACGTATATAGGACATTTCACCAAATTTCAAGTCACAAACATAATCCGAAAAAAATTTGTTTTTAATTTGCTTGTTTGATATAAACACAAATAAAATTTGATGTACAGTAGATAAAGAAAATTTTGTATTTACAACCTACATATAAATGACAGCACGTGCATGTTCCAGTTCCCCTTATAAGTCCAATTTTTGCAAATGAATTCTTTATTGTGCATAGTAAAAACTTCACTTATTTTTTTTTAAATAAATAACTATAATTAATAACGTTAAATATTTTTTTAATGAATTGCACTACGTGTATAACAAAGTATTATAGTTATAATACATTAAAAAATAGAAATATCAATATTTTGTAAAAAAAAATAAGGTGCAACAGTATCGGTAATTGGTTAATTACTTGATGATGTACCATTTTTATGGGTAATTTTTAAACTCAAATGTTCTAAAACACATTGTGTTAAGATAAATTAATGAGAGAACGAATTATATTTTTACAAAATTGAAATAGAAAAGACTAAGACAGATTTTAAATGGATGATAATGGACTTAATTTATAAATAGTATGCTTTCATGAATATCTAAAAGAAGACGAAGAGAAAGGATTTTTTTTTTAACTATTTGTTTCATTAAAAATACAAAAATCTTCAATTAGATCTTAATTGCAATTGATATTATTCATTAAACATTATTAAAATATATTATATTTAAACAACTCACATAATGCCAATTATGTTTGACCAATTTATATCATTTAAGGCAAGTTACTTAAAATCTCAAACCTATAATAATTCTAATATATATCAATAAAATCTTCGAAAACCAAAAATATTTCATTTTCTGTATCTGATAATTTAATATGCTGGTAGAAGTAAACAGGCAGTTGTGCAGACTTTTATTTCACTACAGCCTGCAGCCAGAAACACTGAATTTACTATTAATGAGGTGAAAATAAAATTTATGGCTGTAACAAGTAGAATATAAATCTCCCCCACTGCAGGAAAAATCTTACACATTCAAGATCATAGAATTTATGTGTGTTGGTGGCATCATTTCTAATAATAATTTTAAACTTGAAATTGACAATAGGCTATCAAAGGCTAATCGATGTTATCATTGTTAAAAGAATTTATTAATGTTCAAACTCGTAAATCTCAAGACAAAATTAATTTTTATACAACTCTTATCAGACTAATTATAGTGTATGGCAGTGAATGCTGGCCATTAACAAAAGCAGATGAAGACAGACTTTTAATTTTTGAAAGAAAAATATTCTAAAAAATTTTTGGCCCAGCTAGAGGGAATGACAGATGGAGAATTTTGTTTAGCCATTAAATCTATAGAAAATATAAGCAACTTAATATTACCAGAGTCATCAAAACTTTTCATATCTGATCACTTGGGCATATTTTTAGATGTGATAATATCAGCCCTGTTAAAAAGTGACTTTTGCAAATGGAGAGGGTACCAGTAAAAGAGATAGACCTCGCACAAAATAGATAGACAGTATAGAGGTAGATCTCAAGACATTAAAAATCAATTATTGGTGGACTATGTGTTGGAGGAATCTATTGAAATGGCCTTAGCCAGTAATAGACTGCAGTGCATGTAAAGTAGAAGAAGATAGTTTCATATATCCTAATTTTTTACTATAAATTGAATCAATTACTTTCAATTCTTAATATGTATTTGTGGTTAATGATATTGTACTATTATTTTCCTGCTAATATACAGTTTGTGATCAAGGTTTACTGTAATGTTCAGAATTACAAAGACAATCTGTCTTAAGCTTTTCTCCTCCTAACAATAATTAATTATGCATGCCCTATAATATAAATATATATATATACCACAGTTAAATGCTAAATTAATGCAAAGTTTTTATTAAAAATAATTTCAATTGCATATTTGTTTCTTGTTTATTTAAAATATTTGTAAAAAAATACTATTGTAAGTTGCTTTTAAGAGAAATATTTCAATATTTATTTTGAAGAAAAGAATTAAATAAGAAATATAAAACACATTTATTATTTCATTAAAATGAAATATAGCTTTTGTAAAGCAATAGCATCCAAACAAAATTACTAAAAATAAATTTTATAAATGTACAAATATGACATAATCAAAGCTTTTTTTCCTTCCTGGATAATGCATTTTTATACAAATGTATTATTCTTGTAGATCCAATTGCAAATACAATATTTCTATTCACGTTGTATAATTCTTTATGGAATAAATTGATCAAGGGGGACACCACATCATTCCATGACGATCTGGTGCTTTGATATGTGGAATATCCCATATCCAAGGTTCATCTAAAATGGCAAAAGAAATAAATTCAGCAACAACAACAAAAAAAGAGTTTAGCAACTAGCAATAAAGCTGGATTACCAGATACCAATATTACATGCCACAAAATGTCAGCTAATTGAAAGACGCGCTTCTAATGATCTGACAATATGTGATCTTGCTGTCTAGTGGAAATCAAGCTTAAGTGTTTAAATTAAAATTTTGCATAAAAATTATGAAATCCTTTACTTCTTAACTTTCCAACACATCGAATTAGTTACCTTGAGTTGCAGATCACTGTTTTCATAAATGAGGAAAATAGATAGAATTGCAATAGCTTATATAAGCATCTTGCTTTGACAATTTTCTATTTTCTGATGGAAGATTTTTTCCCTTCTTTTTGCTATAGTAAACATGTCTAAAAGTTCTCCTTTCATTGCACATTGATGGGTTGTTTGTAACAAACTTAGGTAAAATACAAGGCCCATTGATGTTCAACAACAAATCATCTATTTAAATTTTTTTAAAAATCCCTTATTTTTCAGTCCAAAAAAGATTATTCTGAAACTTGAAATAAATATAATTGAAAAATAAATTAAAAAAAAAATAGTTCACCCAGATGGCATCACTTTATTCATCTTTGATCTACACTGCTTAAAATAATTAAAGGATATTCAGCTTTTCATGGAATTTGGTGGTTTGATACATTATCCACAGACATCGATCTTCAAGAGAAAAAGTCACACAAAGATGAAAGAAATAAAAATTTGTTTTTTTGGATCAAAACCAAAAATATACAATTTGTGCATCTCAGAAAATGTGATTTCTCA